GGCCCCGGCGTAGATCTCAGCCTCACAACTGGAGCTAAGAGCTGAAGACGAGCGGGTAGACCGCCAAGAAACAGAGCCGGAACCAAGGCTGAAGGTGTAACCCTGTGACGACCGCTGCGTAGCTGAGTCATCAACACAGGAGGCGTCTGCGTGACCGGTGAGGACAACTGGACCCCGTCCTCCAAGCACGAGCCCCATGCCCAACGTACTGCACAAGTAACGCAGTACCCTCTTCGCAGCATCCCAGTGCACCTTTCGGTGCCTGCCGGGAGCCACGTAGCGAGCCAGAAGGCTGAGAGGGTACGCGAGGTCGGGTCGAGTGCACGTCATCAGGTACATGAGGCAACCCACAAGCTCTGTGTACGAACCACTCGGCTCTACGGACTCGTCCAAAGGTGGAGCTGAGAGCGAGTGGCTGGTAGACAGAGGAGTGGGCTGTGGCGAGGAGAGCTGGAAGCCGAAGCGCTGAAGGACCTGGTGCACCATGTGTGACTGAGTCAGGGTAATGGTGCGCCGAGCTCTGTCCCGAGTGATCTGCAAGCCAAGATAGCTGCGCAGTTCACCCAGGTCAGTGTAGGTGTGTCTCTTCTGCTGCTCCGACTTCACAAGAGTCAGTGCCTCAGTGTCAGCCGTGGCAAAGACGAGGTCGTCGACGTAGACGAGGACGTAGAACGGCGGCACCGAGGTGTCGCTGCGTGGAAACAGCCACGGGTCAACAGTAGCAGGAGCAAACCCAAGAGCCGCAAGTGTAGTCCTCAGTGTGTCGTGCCACTCGCGAGGCGCCTGGCGGAGACCGTAGACTGGCCGCCGAAGACTCCACTGAGTACCTGCAGGAAAAGACTCAGTGAAACCAGGTGGGCGGCGCAACCAGATCTCCTCGTGCAGGCTGCCCTGCAGAAACGCTGTGCTGAAGTCCAGAGAGTGCAACTCGTAGTCACGTTGAGCAGCGACGTGCAGCAACACCCGAAGAGTAGTCATCTTTGGGGTGGGGGAGAAGGTCTGGAAGTAGTCAACTCCCTGTCGCTGACTAAAGCCTCTAGCAACGTAACGCGCCTTGAAGGCAGGCGGAGAACCCGGCGGCCGCTTCACCCTGAAGATCCACATGCCATCGACTATGTTCGCCCCAGGTGGGGGAACCTCGTCGACGTAGGTGCCTGTGGACTTCCAGGATGCCATCTCGGCATCCATGGCTGCCTGCCACTGAGAGGAGTAAGGACCCGTAATCGCCTCTACGTAAGAGCGCTGGGTCGGGATGTCTGGTGCATCCGGGTCTTCGTCAGGAGCAAGCAGCATGGAAGCAAAACGAGGTACAGCAGCTGCAAGACACTCAAAGTCGTTCTGCTTGTCCTTAAGGACGTCCGTGCTAGGAGCACACTCACCCCCGACGGACGGAGGACTGGCAGACGCAGACTCAGCAACAAGAGCAGTGGCGTAGTTTAGACGACTGGCAGCAGCAAAGTCAAGCAGCTCAGCAACGAGAGCAGACGCAGCAGCAGACTCAAAAGAAGGGTCAGTGACTGCAGTGGACAGGAGACGAGAGACAGTGGGACTGGCAGCACGAGCGCGGTCAGACTCAGGGTCAGGGACCTCAGGAAGAGATGACTCAGGAGAAGGTGGCAGAGGAACTCGTAGAGGAACAGAGGAAGGACGAAGGGTCATAGCGTGCGTGCCAGGGACAGGAGGAGGAAGCGAACGAGGAGCGCGACGAGCAGTGCGAACAGGCGAGACAGGACGAGACGCAGGCTTGCGACGCTCTGTAAGACCGCCGGACTGCTCAGTGTAAGGGCAACAGAAGGCGGGGTACCAAGAACCTGCTGGAGCAGGGGAACGAAGTACGGTCACGGCCGCACAGCGCCACCAGGGTCAATAGCTCCAGCTCCTCCAGCTCCAGCACCTCCAACACCAGGACCTCCAACTCCAGCGCCTCTTGCGCCAGGGCCACCAACTCCAGCTCCTCCAGCTCCAGCGCCACCAGCACCAATAGTACCAGACTCCGGAAGGACTCCAGCTCCAGCACCCTCAACACCACCAGTCCCGGCAGCTCCAGTACCCCACATACGAGCACCTCCAGGATCAGCGGTCACAGTACCTCCACTAACACCAGCTCCAGCAGCAACTCCAGTACCTCCAGCTCCAGCAGCGCCAGCACCTCTAGCTCCAGAAGCTCCACTCCGAAGGCGCGGACGCTGAACAAACCACTCACGCAACTGCTGCAGAGACAGTCTCGGCGAAGCACCAGCAGAACCTCCAGACGAAGCAGCACCCTGAGGCTCCGCACCTCCAGACTCTGCACCCTCCGATGCAGCACCCCCAGGCTCAGCACCCCCAGGCTCAACACCCTCAGGCTCAGCACCCCCATTCGCAACTGTGCAGGTCTCAGCACCCTCAGACTCCGCACCCCCAGGCTCCGCACCCCCAGACGCAGCACCTCGAGCAGCACCTCAGACGATAGCTACCTGAACAGGCGCAGGACCAGGGAAAGGGTCTACCTGAGACACACCTGAGGGAGCAGGACCCTAGGGCGGGAGGGGGTCTATCGGAGGGGGACCGGGAGCAAGGAAGAGCGGCGGGGGCGGAGGAGGGGCAGAGCGGTAGGCGAAGAGGCGGAAAAAGGGAACCGACTCGTCAAACCCGTAATCGCCTCCGGCGGGTACCCAGTGCTAGCAACGTTTCGACCTCCACTGGGTACCTCCACTGGCCCCCTGTTGCTGGAAGCCTCTAGCAACGTAACGCGCCTTGACGGCAGGCAGAGAACCCGGCGGCCGCTTCACCCTGAAAATCCACATGCCATCGACTATGTTCGCCCTAGACGGGGTAACTGCGTCGACGTAGGTGCCTGTGGACTTCCAGGATGCCATCTCGGCATCCATGGCTGCCTGCCACTGAGAGGAGTAAGGACCCGTAATCGCCTCTGCGTAAGAACGCGGGGTCGGGATGTCTGGTGCATCCGGGTCTCCCTCAGGGGCAAGCAGCATGGAAGCGAAACGAGGTACAGCAGCTGCAAGACACTCAAATTCCTCCTGCTTTTCCTCAAGGACGTCCGTGCCAAGATCACACTCACCCCCGACGCACGGAGGATTGGCAGACTCAGACTCACCAACAAGAGCAGTGGCATAGTCTAGACGACAGGCAGCAGCAAAGTCAACGAACTCAGCAACGAGGGCAGACGCAGCAGTGGACTCAAAAGAAGGGTCTGTAACAACAGCGGTGAGGAGATGAGAGACAGTTGGACTTGCAGCACGAGCGCGGTCAGACTCAGGGTCAGGGATGGCAGGAAGAGAGGACTCAGGAGGAGGCAGCAGAGGAACACGCAGTGGAACAGAGGAAGGAAGAAGTGCCATAGCGTGTGTGCCTGGGACATGAGGAGGACACGGACGAGGAACGCGACGACCAGTGCGATCAGGGGAGGCAAGACGAGACGCAGGCTCACGACGCTCTGTAAGACCGCTGGTCTGCTCAGGGTAAGGAGAAGGAGCAGGCGGTGGGGAGGCTGGCTGTAACAGCGGCTGTGACTGGTCAAGCGGTGCACACAGTAAGGGAGGAGTAAGGCCAGTAGAAGAGGGGACACCAAGAGCCTGCTGAAGCAGGGGAACGAAGTACGGTCGCGGCCGCACAGTGCCTCCAGTACCAGCACCACCAGACACAGCACCCCCAGCTCTAGCACCTCCAGCACCAGGGTCAACAGCTCCAGCTCCTCCAGCTCCAGCGCCTCCCACTCTAGCGTAACCACCGCCAGTGCCTCCAGCTCCAATGTCTCCAATCCCAGCGGCTCCAGGCTCCGTAGAGGCTCCAGCTCCAGCTCCAGCTCCCCCAACACCACCAGACCCGGCAGCTCCAGTACCCCTGGTACGAGTACCTCCAGGACCAGCAGCTACAGCACCTCCTGTACCACCAGCTCCTGCAGTAACTCCAGTACCTACAGCTCAAGTGTCTCCAGCGGCAGATTCTCCAGCTCCAGCAGCTCCACTTCGAAGGCGGGTGCGCTGAGCAAACCACTCGCGCAGCTGCTGCGGGGAGAGAGGCTCCAGTCGGGGAGACAGTTGTGGCAAAGTACCCGCAGGACCTCCAGAAGAAGAAGTACCCCGAGGCTCAGCACCCCTAGACTCCGCACCCTTAGACTCAGCAACCCCAGGCTCCACACCCTCAGGCTCAGCACCCCTAGGCTCCACACCCGCAGGCTCAGCACCCGCAGGCTCCGCACCCCCAGGCTCAGCACCCCAAGACCCAGCACCCTCAGACTCCGCAACCCCCGTCTCCACACCCCCAGACGCAGCACCTCGGTCAGAGTGCAGACGCAGGACAGGAAGGTCCTGGCGGAACCGCTCGCGGAGCTGGAGACGGACTGCCCACTGCAAAATGGGATCTTGGAGGTTCAGGGGGAGGCAGGAGGGGATCTGCAGCATCAGCCCCCCCCCCCCCCCCCCCCCCCCCCCCCCTTTTCTCCTCTCTCTCTCCCTAGAGCACCCTGTGTTGGGAGGGGGGGGGAGCTTGGAGGTTCAGGGGGAGGCAGGAGGGGATCTGCAGCACCAGCCCCCCCCGCCCCCCCCCCCCCCTTTTTCTCCTCCACCCCTGCTGCGGTTGCAGCAGTGGGGGGGAGGGGATCTGCAGCAGCAGTGGGGGAGGGGATTTGCAGCATCAGCCCTCCCCCCCCCCCCCCCCCCTTTTCTCCTCTCTCTCTCCCTGCAGCACCCTATGTTGGGAGGGGGGGGGGAGCTTGGAGGTTCAGAGGGAGGCAGGAGGGGATCTGCAGCACCAGCCCCCCCCGCCCCCCCCCCCCCCTTTCTCCTCCACCCCTGCTGCGGGTGCAGCAGTGGGGGGAGGGGATTCGCAGCATCAGCCCCCCCCCCCCCCGCCCTTTTCTCCTCTCTCTCTCCCTGCCGCACCCTGCTGTCCTGCTGCCCTGCTGTCCTGCTGCCGTGCGCGCCCCGCGCGCCCTGCTGCCCTGCAGCCCTGTGCGCCCTGCTGCCCTGCTGCTGCCGCTACAGCCCTTGCTGTTGCCGCTACAGCCCTTGCTGCTGCCCTGCGCGCCCCGCGTGCCCTGCAGCCCTGCTGCGCCCCGCTCGCCCTGCTGCCCTGTGCGCCCTGTGCGTCCTGCAGCCCTGCGCGCCCTGCGCGCCCTGCTGCCCTGCGCGCCCTGCGCGCACTGCAGCCCTGCGCGCCCCGCGCGCCCTGCCGCACTGCAGCCCTGCGCGCCCCGCGCGCCCTGCTTCCCTGCAGCCCTGTGCGCCCTGCTGCCCTGCAGCCCTGTGCGCCCTGCTGCCCTGTTTGCCCCGCGCGCCCTGCTGCCCTGCAGCCCTGTGCGCCCTGCTGCCCTGCTGCCCTGTGCGCCCCGCGCGCCCTGCAGCCCTGTGCGCCCCGCGCGCCCTGCAGCCCTGCGCGCCCCGCGCGCCCTGCTGCCCTGCAGCCCTGTGCGCCCTGCTGCCCTGCAGCCCTGTGCGCCCTGCTGCCCTGCTGCTGCCGCTACAGCCCTTGCTGTTGCCGCTAGAGCCCTTGCTGCTGCCCTGCGCGCCCCGCGCGCCCTGCAGCCCTGCTGCGCCCTGTGCGCCCTGCAGCCCTGCGCGCCCTGCGCGCCCTGCTGTCCTGCTGCCCTGCGCGCCCTGCGCGCACTGCAGCCCTGCGCGCCCCGCGCGCCCTGCTGCCCTGCAGCCCTGTGCGCCCTGCTGCCCTACAGCCCTGTGCGCCCTGCTGCCCTGCTGCCCTGTGCGCCCCGCGCGCCCTGCAGCCCTGTGCGCCCCGCGCGCCCTGCTGCCCTGCTGCCCTGTGCGCCCTGCTGCCCTGTGCGCCCCGTGCGCCCTGCTGCCCTCTGCACGCGCCATGCACAGCCCCCCCCCCCTCCGCCACCCCCCCCCATTTCTCCTCCATCCTCTGCTGCAGGTGCGACAGTGGGGGGAGGGTATGGGGGTGGCGGGTGTGTGAACCGTCCCGTGCTCCTCCTCCTCCTCCGTCTACCACTACTGCAGCTGCCGCTGAGGGGGGTGGGTGTGTGGGAGCCGAGGGAGTGGTGCTAGGGGGGTGACATGGGAGTGGAGCTAGGGGTGCAGCAAGGGGTGTGTGAAAGGGGGGTGGGACAGTTGGGGGAGGTTGAGCGGAGGCTGCCGTCTTATCGTCCGCAGCACCTGTAGTCCGGGGCTCTGCTTCTGGTAGCTCAGAGAGCATGCTGCGCCTGTCACCTGTGGGTCCGTTGCTCCTGCCGCTCAGAGTTAGCCGCAGAGCCAGTTACTCCTGTAGTCCGGGGATACGGCCCCGGTAGCCACAGTGCGCGCCGCTCCTGTTGCCCGTGTGTCTGCAGCATCAGCCGTCGCCTCCTATCTCCTCTCCTCTCACAGTCCAGCCTCCTCCTCCTCACTTGCCCCTTGTGAATGCCTCTAGCTTTGCTTGTACTTGTGAACTTGCTCTATGACTGCTTGCTCTGCTGATTACACCCCACTTTGACTATGGGGGTGTGTCAGAATGTATTTGCTGTTTAGCCTGCAGTGGGGTACTCTGTAGTTAGTACAACCCAATTTAGGGTTTGCTATTTGTATCCCAACTTCCCATAGTGAAACGATCTCTTTCTCAATTCTCCCTTGCACAATCCTCTCGACACTCTAACCTAGCTATGGCTCCTAAGCCTAAGTCACGCTAGGATTCTCACAGCTGACCCCCAGGAGTGGTGGTAGTGACCATCGAATCCTGGAGGGCAGCTGTACTCACCAAGTTCGTAGAGAACGAGGGGAGGTGAAGACCTGACAGTGAGCCGGACGGAACCGCCGGACACGGGAGAACAGTGGAGGAACGGGCAACGACTGGGCCCCCGGAGGGGTCAGCCAGTCTGACCGGTACAGGTGCACGGAGAGGAGTGAGGGTGGTGCTGTCACGAAAGAAACAGCGTGAGGCACCTGAGTCCAGCGTGAAGGTGCGCAAGGCCTCAGCAGGCACAGTACCAGGGAGAGCAGACTCACTAGCACCTAGAGCAGCAGCCTCTATACCTGGGTCAGGCGGCACACACAGGTAACAGTCACCCTCAGCACTAATAGAGAAAGCATACATAGCAGAAAGGATATTATCATAGTCTAGGTCAAAGATAGCAACTCCAGACCTAAGCAGCTCAGCCCAGCGGGGGCGCTCGGCCTCGTCACCAAACTCTGCGCGCCAAGCGTCGGCGAGGCGGGAGAAGCAGCGGTGCTGAGTGTGAGGCTTCCCGCATGTCTGACCAGCACGGTCACCCATGCGAATGACATACGGGCAGCTACCACTACCCCCAGACACCCCACGCTGAAACAACCACTCACGAAGCTGCTGGGGCGATGGGGTCTCGCTCCGACGCTGCTGCTGCTGCCTCTGGCCTCCTCTAGAACCCTCACGTTGAGCTCCAGTCCTACCGCCACCACTCCCACCGCTACCACGACCACCACTCCCACCGCTGCCTCCACTCCCGCCACCACTCCCACCGCTGCCACCACCTCCACTGCCTCCACCACCTCCACTGCTGCCCCCACCACCACCCCCGCTGCCACCGCCACCACCCCTGCCACCCTTGCCCTTGCTGCTGCGACGCTTCGCACTAGCAGAAGCAGCCCCGACGTCCTCAGGACCAGGGACGTCGACAGCAGAAGCAGAGGCGTAGGAGGGGGCAAGGGGGGAGGGGGAGCACCCGTCAAAGAAGGGTGTGCGCGGAGTTCCACGAGCAGCGGCTACATCGACTACACTAGTCTCAGCTGCAAGGAGGTGCTGCTCGAGTAGGTCAATAGTGAGGACTGTGGGGTCGAGGGAGAGAAAGTGGTCCCTGACAGAGCGAAGAGAGTCAGGGAGGCGGGTGACTATAAAGTAGAGAGATGAACATCGGGGGCTGGTTCCTGGCAAGGAACTCTGCTGGGGCGGCAGCGCGGTAGCGAGCGTCGCTAGTGCGAATGTGGGAAACCAGGTCCTCCACTGTGGCAAAGGCGGACAGCTCGGGGAACAGGTAGGGCAGGAGAAGGCGGCCTAGAGCAGTAGTGGCAGGCGAGGAGTAGCGAGCAACGACAGCGTCGTACAGTGCCTGTGTTGTCCGAAGTGAGCGCATTCGGCTAACGGCAGGTGGTTGCGAATGGCTAAGTGGGCAGCAGCATCGCGAGTAAGCCACTGTGAGCGAGTCGCCTTGTCAGCTGTGGCGGGAGGGGCGGGAGCGGCGCCAGACGTGTGGTCAAACAACGAAACACTGTCCCTAGAGTCGCTCAGTAGGTACAGCTGCAGGTCGTCGAGCCACGTGTCAAACTGGATAGGGTGGCCCTCATGATTGAAAGCGAGAACGCGAAGAGAAGCCATAGCAGCAGAGGAGAGGGGGGAGCTAGCGGGTTGCGAGAGAGCTGTGCGCAGGCTGCAAGGGGCGGCGAGCAGGTCGCAAGGGGCGGCTAGTAGGCTGCAAGAGGCAGCATGGGGGCTGCAAGGGGCGGCGCACGGGCGGCAAGAGGCGGAGCGCGGGCTGCAAGAGGCAGGCACGCGGGCTGCAAGAGTTGCAGGCGGGCCGCAAGCGGGCAGCGCGCTGGCTGTAGGGGCAGCGGTCGGGCCGGGGCCTAGGTGCGACGGGCCGGGCCCAGGGGCGGCCTGCAGGCCTAGGGGCGGCAGGCAAGCGTAGGGGCGACGTGCGGGCCGGGGCCTAGGAGTCGACGGGCAGGCCGGGCGTAGGGATTTACTTGGGGGGGGGGGGGGGGGGGGGGGGCCTAGGGTCAACGGGTCGCGCCGGGCCTAGGGGTCGACAGGGCGCGCCGGGCGTAGGGGTCGACGGGGGGCCGGGGCCTAGGGGTCGACTGGCGGTCCTGGCGTAGGGGTTGATGTGGGGGCCGGGGCCTAGGGATCGACGGGTCGCGCCGGGCGTAGGGGGCGACGGGGGGCCGGGGCCTAGGGGTCGACGGGGCGCGCCGGGCGTAGGGGTCGACGGGGGGCTGGGGCCTAGGGGTCGACGGGCGGGCCTGGCCAAGGTGTCGACGGGGGGCCGGGGCCTAGGGGTCGACGGGGCGCGCCGGGCGTAGGGGTCGACGGGGGGCCGAGGCCTAGAAGTCGACGGGCGGGCCTGGCCAAGGTGTCGACGCGGGGCCGGGGCCTAGGGTTCGACGGGTCGCACCGGGGCCTAGGGGTCGACAGGCGTGCGGGGCCTAGGGGCAACGGGCGGGCCTGGGCCTAGGGTCGTCGGGGCGCGCGGGGCAGTAGGGGCAGCACGAGGGCTGCAGAGGGCGGCTAGCAGGGCAGCGCTGTGGTGGGCCCAAAAAATAAAACGGTCCTAACGAAGGATCTGCTCTTAAACCATGTCAGAAGAATGAACAAGAATGAATGCATTGAACAGAAGTTGGGTACAAGTACTAACCCTAATTGGGTTGTACCCCTTATGGGCTACCCCACTATAGCCTACACAAATGTAAGCACTATAACATTCTGACATCCTGGAGCTGACAGACGAAACGATGTACCGCCCGGTGACATCGTTCAAATTTCACTTCTTCCTGTACTTCCTGGCAGATGTGCACACGGCAGGTGAACCTGGTGACAAAAACAATGATGTGCTTGAACCTGCTATTCCAGAGATGTTATTTTGACGCTGAACCTGCTATTCCAGAAACGCGAGGTGAGTTGTTGTGCTAACTTTATATGATTCATGACCCGTATCTTGAACTAATATGTTGTTTACATGTACCCTATCCCTCCCGCCCAAGAGGTTAACCTCACTGGAATCCATTCCCAAGTGAGGCGGACCATCATCTACATCGAGCAGAGGTACATCGATTGTGGCCAGCAGATCGGCGGTGGGACCAACGAGATGATGTCGGCATTCCTCGCGCGGCACGCCTCGCCTGATTGCCGTCAAGTGACCGTGGAGGGGGTGGATAGGGACGGTCAGCCCCGGGTACATCGGTTTTAGCACGAGGACTCTGTGTCGGGATACACCACCAGCAGCAGGGACATGCAAGGATGATACACTTGCTGCCGCTCATTCGCGCGCGAGATTTTGTACAACTTGGAGTTGCACTTGGGGGACCTGACGCACTTGAACGGGGCGAAGTGCTTCATGCCCCGCTTGTGGCCGAGGGGTGTCAAGGCGAGAGATGCCGAATGCAAGGAGCACCTGCATGGCCTTATCCATCTCTTTAAGGCCAAGAACCATGACACCATCTGATTTGGTGAGCAATCCTCATCCCCTGATCTGCTTGTGTGCATGCACTTTCCCACTCCTTGTGTGCTTGACTATTTTCCCGTTTGTGTTTGAGTGACGGTAATGGCAGGTGTCCAGAAGCGTGTGGCACATGCGGAGCTGCGCACGTTATTGTCGGTTCTCTCCTCTGCTCCCAAGGAGGAGCAGTCGTATCATGCCAGTTTGGAAGCCATCTTGCAGATAGGCGACTGGCATAGCAGCTACCCCAAATTAGTCCGTCTGTGGGCTGCGGTGGCTATTCTGCCAATCAGCACAGTCGAGTGTGAACGCGGGTTTTCCCGCCATAATGTCATCAAGTCGTGGCGCAGGACGAGCCTCTGCAATGCCAAGCTGGGAGACCTATTGGCGTTGAGCATGCTCGACTACAACATGGAGTGGGAGAAGGCGGTGGAGCTTTGGAGGAGTACCAAGGAAAGGCGGCCCAGCAAGTGCAAGGAGCAAGCAGCGCCAGAGAGAGAGAACGAGCCAAGTGGGTTAAGGGGAGTGGCCGCCGGGCGGTGCAGGAGGAGCTAGACGAGAGCACGCATAGTTCTACTGGCGATGATAGTGAGGGTGATGATGACGGTGGCAGTAGTGGAGATGAGAGTGATGATGATGATGATGATGATGATGATGATGATGATGATGATGATGATGATGATGATGACATGTAGTCTGTAAATCTATTGCTGTTATAATGAGAACTCCATAAACTTTGCACTGTTGATTCAACTTTTGTTTTTTTCTTACACTGATGGTTCAGTTTACTAAGGATTTCCACACAGCCAAAATCAGTATAAAAAAGGCCATGAACGCTGATGTGGACACCAGGCTGGCCGGGGCACGCTGATCCATCAGCATGCCCTCTACCAATCTGAGGGCATGGTTGCGTAGAAAAACGAATAACAAAGCTGCGACTAAAATATAATGACGATACAATGAAGGACGTGGCAAAATATAACGACTACCCTAGCTAAGCGGAAAACTTGAGATTGCGAGGTTGGGTGCAGTTTGG